TGGCAGAAGGTGGATCAGGTTGTCCAGCAGGTGCTCAGTCAAAGCGTTACACTGCCCCTGTTCCTCAACCATGGTGGGGCTGAGAGGAACGCTGTACACACAGATAACAAATGTGTCACCTTACTAAATACACCACACACCCATCTTCATTTTATGATTGACAGCTCCATCAGACTGCAGGTCTCTGTGTCTCATAAGACTCTGAAAACTTGTGCATGTAGTAATTCTAGGCAACTCAGACCTTTAGTTATGTAGTAATGTGTTCAGAAGAACGGACTATCAGCTGAATACACACGCTGAAAACACTTACTGAAAGATGCTTGGTCCAAAAACTATTGACAAATTCCCAGATGTCATAAGATTTAGATGACTCTCAGCAGCCACACGGGACAGGAAGAACATTAGGTAGCAGAGAACATTAAAATGTTCCTCTGGGAGACTGTTCAGGATCGTCCTCACAGCCTGATTCAGTTCTCCCTCTTTTGAATCTGCAAGATAAAATAAAGAATTCAAGAATATTCAGTCAAATTGGATAAATCTGTTTTATTGTGCAGCAAGTACTTAAAATGTGCTCTCATCACCACCTCAACTTCACTTACCTTTGAACACATTCAGCAGTTGTGTCCTGTGTGGGTCTGGAATAAGTCCACCAGGCAATTCACTGAGGAAAACTTTCAATAAGGAGGCCTGAGTAAGAATATCCCCACTGTCAAACTCTGGAAATCCTCCTTGATCAAAACTTATCCTCAGTTCCCGGCAGCGTTTCACTGACCCGCTGGCTCTGAACAGGCCACTCTTACTGAGACCTAAACACAAACACAGAGTTTACAAATACACACAATCTCTGCATACAATTGGCAAACACTGAGAAACACTGTCACACAGGACACTCACCGTGCTTCTCCACAAACTCCACTATGTGTGTGAGCACCAGAGGAAGACCCTGCCTCATCTGTCCACTCTTCCTCAGGCTGATGAGGGGAACACCGAACACAGCTCTTGGTGTTTCCACCTACACAAGACAAAAGTTCAGTAGAAGAAAAAGGAAGGTTTACTGGGAATTATACTGCACAGCACACCATGCATGAGAAAGCAACTTTATGATGGAAACGGAAACTTTATGAAGCTCTTCACTGGACAGTCATTATTTGTGAATTGTTAGTAATCTGCTGTGCATATCGCATACTTACACACACTGA